CTAGGCGAGATGGGTCGCCGCCCCCACACTGCAGCATAACAAAACCTACCTCATGGCAAATGATCTTCTACGTCTGCGGAAGAAGGGGCACCCCCAGCTATCAAAAAGCTTGTCGAGGCGTGGTTGACCGACACACTGACGAGCATCCTCAACAAACCCGCTCCAGGCTCAAATGCCGAAACCGCTAGGATTGTCACGATCCAACAAACGGACGACCAGGGCAATCGGCCACCCCGTCCAACGACAGGTACAACTCACAATGTCATTGATAATGCAGGTGATAACGCCCTTACAGCCATCCTAAAAAGGATGGAAGAAATGGAGAATGAAAATAAGGCGCTCCGATATCAGATGAAAGAACATCAAGAGGTTGTCGATAAAATACTAGGCGCCCCTAAATTGCTACCGAAAAGTGACGATGACCGTTTCATAGAGCAGCCATACAGTGATGATGCAACTCCCTATGCCATACCAAAAACCTTCAAAATACCTCCCTACCCCAGGATATACGATGGCACGATCGACCCGGAAAATCATGTGACCCATTATGTCACCGCCGTAAAAGGCAATGACCTCGCCAAAGAGCAAGTGTCCTTCATTTTGCTGAAAATATTTGACGAAACCCTCACGGGAGGAGCATTAACATGGTATTCACAGCTACTAGCTCGCTCCATAGAAACTTTTGAAGATATGGCCGACAAGCTAGTAATGGCCTATGCCGGGGTGAAGAAGGCCAAAGTGAAAGTGAACGACATATTTGCCATTAAACAGACCCTAGTTGAAGGGCTGAGGGACTTCCTCGCCCGGTTCAATTGAGTGAGGATGACTTTGCCGAACATATCCGAAGGAATGGCGATTGCAGCCTTTCAGAATGGGCTGAGGAAGGATGGTTCGAGAGCAATTAGGAAATTATTGAGTCGGCTGATGAAGTATCCCACAACCACTTGTGATGAAATATACAACGCTTATTGTGCCGAGGTCCGAGCAGATGAGGACGACCTCAATGGACCATCTCATTGACTGACCTCGTTACAGGCCGAATCCAGAAAAGATCGAAGGAATGATGCCAGAAGAGATCTCGCAGCTCCACAACCTAACAGGGAACTACATCAGCTGTATGTCAGAACGACCGATGCGTCCTCCCCTCACTATGAAGAGGGCCCGTCTAGACCAAGGATAGAGACTCACCGGAATGAACGAGGTATGCCCCCTTTACTATTCTCTCATAATTTTTGTGTGTCACCTACAGAGATAGTCTATGCTTTGGAGAAACTCGGACCGTAGGTAAAGTGGCCGCAGAAGATGAGGTCGGATTCGAGTACCAGAAAATCCGACGCCCTCTACGAGTTCCATCAAGAACGAGGGCACAAAACCAAGGATTACATCGTCCTAAGGCAGGAAGTTGTAAACATGTTGCGACAAAGACACCTCAAAGAGTTGCTAAATGACAGGGGAAGGACCAACTTCGCCAGAGTACACGAACAACACCAAGGACCGCCAAAGCCACCCTCGCCAGCCTGTACCATCCACATGATCATCAGCGGCATCGACGACTCCTTTATCAACAATGTGAAATTCACCACAACCCACAAGCTCAAGCGATCAATCATCCGCGAACGGTATGACAGACTCGAGAATAGTATCATCTTTGATAAGTCAGACACCAACAGTTTGACCTTTCCTCATAATGATGCCCTCGCTATTACTTTACGAATTTTAGATACCGATGTGAGATGCACTATAGTAGATGACGGGAGCGGCGCGTGCATTTTCCATCCTCGAGTACTTGCACAAGTGAAACTCGAAGATAAGATAGTGCCGCATTGTATCACGCTAACTGGTTTTAACAATGCAGTTGAGCGAACATCTGGAGAAATCACACTCCCCGTTCTGGCCGGTGGCGTCACTCCGGAAACCACATTCCACATCATAGACCAAGACATAATGTATAACGCCAAAGTAGGGCGACCATGGATACACACCATGAGAGCCGTCCCTTCCAATTTATACCAGGTCTTCAAGTTCCCAACTCCGTGGGGAATATTTAGTATACGAGGGGAACAACACACATCCCGGGAATGCTACCGCATCGCCCTAGACAACTCGGCCACCCAACAAAAGAGGGACAAAAAAAAGAGGCATAACAATCAGCAGGGTTGAGGTTGGCACATGACAATAGCGGGGACGGCATCAGAGACCCAGATATGGTCGAAGACGCAGGATCGGCCATAGAAGACCTCGATCCAGTTCAATTAGACCTCAACGACCACAACAAGAAGGCTTACATCGACTGCAAACTTCAGGATACTGGTAAATTCTGTCAATTCTTTGCAGCTAACGTAGATTTGTTTGCTTTCAGCCATGCAGATATGCCAGCACGCGCAAACTGAACGTTGACCCATTCCACCCCCAGTAAGACAGGTCAGACGTAAGTTCAACTCTGTAATTAATGACGTGGTACGTGAAAAGGTGGAAAAACTATTGGAAAATGTCTCTATCAGGGAGTCGAAGTACCCCCAGTGGGTCGCCAACGTGGTCATGGTGAAAAAGAAGAATGGAAAATGGCGGATGTGCGTGGTTTTCACAGATTTGAACAAAGCATGCCCCAAGGATTCATTTCTATTACCCCATATCGACCAACTCATCGATGCAACGGCCGGGTATGAACTGCTGAGCTTCTTGAACGCTTATTCAGGTTATAAACAAATCCTCATGGAAGAAGAGGATCAGGAAAAAACCACATTCATCACCCATCAAGGGACGTACTGCTACAGAGTCATGCCCTTCAGGCTAAAAAATGCAGGGGCAACTTACCAAAGGTTGGTGATGAGGATGTTCAAGGACCAACTCTGCAAAACGATGGAAGTCTATATAGACGACATGCTGGTCAAGTCGAAAAGGATAGAAGATCATATCGACCATCCGAGAGAAACCTTTGACATACTCAAATGATACAGAATGAAACTGAACCCCTAAAAATGTGTGTTCGGTGTGGCCTAAGGAAAGTTTCTAGGTTTCCTAGTATCACAACTGTAAAGACCCGAAAAAGAAAAAAAAACTTTTGCTAAGTATTATGTTCTCTCTCAAGCTCTAAGTGGGACACAAAGTTGTGAGAAAAGCTATGAAGGCATAAAATACAAAAATCTTATGTTTAGAAGGTTGAATGGATGGTTATAAGAGGAGAGGAGTAAATTGGAATCCATTAGAGTTGTTTAAGGGATGAAAATGACCTTAGCCGTACATGACCTAAGTTTAAATACTCATATATATATATATATTAATATATAATGAATTGAGATTTGAGCTATATATAAAAAGAAAGCCCTTGAAGTCTAGTTTCTAACACTTCAAACCGTTTATCATTTCGATGTTCCGATAAAAGGTTATAGGCATTTTATTGAAGAATATCCTGTCAAAATAATGGGCCGCATTTTGGGCGCCCAGGGGGGCGCTAGGCGCGAATCAAAATGCCAAAGTCAGAAGTAAAATTTTTGGGGCGTTTTGGGTGGTGCTAGGAATGGACCGTGATGCTGAAGGCGTGAAATTGAAATAAAAAGGGACGGGGAGAGAGAAAATAGCCTCATTCTTTAAGGATTAAACATCCCCTCTCATCCTCAAGTCATCCAAGGGTTCTCATACTACCTAATGTGAGTTTTCAATGTGATTAGCATTAGAATACTACTTCCAAACATCCATTCTAACAATATTCCATCACAAAATCATTAGATTCTCAACAAGAACTCAAGAACAAAGTCTCTCCACTAATCTAGGGTTTCACAATTCAAGGTAAGTTTCATAACAGCTTTCAACCACAATTGTTAGAGAGATTTATGGTTGATATTTGTTCCTAGAAACTACTACATGAACTTAAATTAACGATGAACCTTAGAATGAGAGAAGAATCAAACCTAAGGTTTCTATATTTTGGAAATCTTGGAACTTCTAGTATTGATCTTTAAATTAACTATGTATAGATTTGTTTGGTGAGTTGAACCCATTGGATTGGAGAAAACGAAGGTATTCAAAAGCAAGGAATCAAGGTGAGTATAGATAATGCTTTTACTAAAGTTGTCTTCTCACAAAGATCATGCCATAAGTTATTGTTAGACTGTATAGGGTGTTAATGTGGGCTCTGAATGGAACGAATGGACTCACATTATCCATTAGAATTGTAGAAAAGATCTTAGATGATTATCATAGTTAATAACTCAAGAGTTGTCTGTTGTTCCATAAATCAGGTCTTATGCATTCATGACTTGCGTATGTTTCTTTAATGTGTAGACTGTATTGAAAATTTCTTTTACATGATTTTATGGAACTTTTTTGATGAGAACTATGAAGATATATCATTGTTTTAAATCTTGTGATGCAAGAATTACTCAGAAGAACATTTTGGGAGTTTCCTTAGAGCTCTGAGAAGGGTTCATTGCCTCTAGTGGTTTATGTTACCCCAAAACTACTCGTGCCAGAGCAGGAGATTAGTGTACCGTTGGTTCGAGCACTATAATAGAAGTGCATTGGTAAGGTACAAGAACGCGAGCATGCTAGAACCTTGAACTGTGAGACACTACAAGAATGGGGTCCAGGCGATCGGGCTGGGATCGTACACCATACCGATCATATGGTGATATTTTCAGAATCAAAATCAGAATAAGAAAGAATGTCAGAATCAATGGAACTCCTCAGAAAAGAAAATAAAAAAAATACTTTGGAAAATTTACAAGGATTGTTTCAAGAAAGTTTATATATCTATCTATTTGAATTGTTTTTTTATTATTTTTTTCCGAAAAGAAGAGAAAAGAAAAGAAGAGAATTTTTTTGAATGACATCAAGAAGAACTTTATACTAGATATATGAGTTGTTTGTTTCAAATCTTCATCAAAAGCTTTTAGAATTTTCTTATATCATGCATACATACTTCTTTCAGAGTTTCGTTCCACCTTTAGTGGGAGGATTGCTTTACTTACTGAGTACTATTGTGGTGTACTGATGTTCTCTTCATGGGAACCTACATTGACCTATGTCAATGTAGGCACGAATTTTGAAGGTAAGCAGGTTACGAGCTAGGATATTCTCCTCCCATTACCAAAAGATTTGGTGAGCTCCATTTTAGTTTGCGGAGTTCGTTGATTCTAGAATTTTGACTTATTACTTCAGTATTTCTAAGAGGCTTCATAAACAGAGTCAGAACAGAGTCATGGGTGTCCACTTTGCACTACATTTATTTTTCAATGTATTCCAGATAACTGAATAAATTTCTTTTCAGACTATTATTTCGATTAAAGATTCAGAAAGAATTTACTTAAAATCATATTGAATTGTGTTGAGATGCATTGCATAGCATAAATAGAACAGAATAGAAAATCCAAGATGAATCGCTTGGTCAAATTAAGGCATCGAGTGCCGGTTACGACTTGGTTAAAATTCAGGCCGTGACAAATTTGGTATCAGAGTAGCAGGTTCAGAAAGTCCTAGGGGTTTATGTAGCCATATTATTAGAGTGTCGATTATCGTTGTGAGGGCCCCACTTCTATAAACGAGGGTCTACAAATATTTAAGAAAAGTTTTGCATTCTTTCTTATTCTAGATCGTGCGTTAAAGCTTAATGTGATAATCAAACTCCTATTTTCATCAATCAATAGAGTGATTAACATAGAGATTCAATTAGAGACTTTAAGAAGAAAAGCTAGCTAGACATCGCTGTCTATAAATGAGGTGATTTACGGTGCTAATTACCTTTAAGGGAGAATGAAGGATAAGTTGGGAATTGACCAAGAAAAGTGTATCCCAAAAGGGAGAATGAAGTAATACCGAGATGACCTAATTCAAGACTGTAACAAACCAGAACTATCATAAATATGTCAAAGACTTTGTACTGAAGAGATTAGGTGATTATGTCTTCAATAAGGTCAAAATTGTCATGAAACTCACAAGGAGTTGGTGCTAGTAAGGTTAGTAGCAACACGATGAAGTACTATATCCTTAGCTATGTCCAGATTTAATTTAGATACCAAGAAGGCCAGTCATTGTATAGGCCACTGTTAACATGAAAAGATTAGGAGGAAGAAAGACATATAAGGATTTGCGTCCCTAAGTTGAGATTAAATTTTTATTCAAAACAACGAGGCTAATAAGTTATATACAGGGGGTCAGAGTATAACCTATGGTAGTTGCAGTGAGACTTTGTGGCTCCTATCAATAAATGTCCTCTAAATGATGAAGACGATAAGAAGAAACTGATAGTTTATTGTATGTATTATGACCTATAGTAATACAATGAATAGATATTTTTAAGTGCATACGTGGTCTACTACAGTTTAATAAGTACAAAAAGACATGACCTCAGAATTTTAAAGTTGAGATAAATTACCACCATGAGGTGAACCACGGTAAAATGACAACACCAAGCTCTTTAAAGATACGATGCCTGGTCATGAGTACCAAAGAACAAGAAGAGGTAGAAGGGAGATAAATATACAGTATAAGGCATTCTCTTTAGAGAAAAGAAAAATCACAAAACTCAGAAAGTCATCCTTACATTATGGAGAGGATGAATGCTACAAAAAATGGATGAAGCGAGAAATATACTTCCAATAAGATACAAGTGTGATAGGTTGGCTTAAGACCATAATGTTCATAAAGTGATACTGATATGTTTTGATACTAGCCTAGTTATGAAATATTCAGAGATATGTTATGAGGTGACTTGAATCTTAACTATATAATGTTTTGATCGTCGCCAGGGTGCTTAATATGACTTAAGTTTGAGCTTGAGAATAATCGCATGTCAACGAGCTAAGCCCAGAATTTATAGCATTCATGAATATACATAATGAGAATATATGATATTTATATATTTTAATAAAATAGATGTTCAGCTTGGCTAAGGTGCCATAGTATCGCAGAAAGATTCTAAAAAGTCAAGCCCTATAGGGAAATATATAAGAAATGTTAGCCTTCACGCTAGAAGTTTAATTTCGAGATACCCCAAGAAATTTTGTAAATGTATGTTATTGAAAAGGTAAGATTACATAAAATATATATTTTTCTATGGTGTACACGAATAGTTGTAATAATGCAGAGTGGAATTAGAGGGTTGACATATGACTTTCTCAGAGAGTTTCACTTTCTCAAGTTCGGCTAAATATGACTCAAATAGA